CCAACCTGTCTGCCTCACTCACCTTCCTGCCGGCCGCCTCCTCTCTCTTTCCTCTGCTTCCTCCTTCTCCCTCTCTCCCTCTCTCCCTCTCCTGCCCTAGGTCCCTGCTCCTCCGCCCACCCCGCTGACGCCTGGCCTGCCTTCCTGCCTCCCTACAGGGCTTCAACAACAACTGGCTTCGAGTGGTCCCACGGACCCGGTTTGGGGCCTTCGCCAGGGGGGCGAAGGTCGTGCTCTACACCAAGCAGAGCGGGGCCCACCTGCGGATCATCGATGGGGGCTCGGGCTACCTGTGCGAGATGGAGCCCGTGGCACACTTTGGCTTGGGTGAGTCGGGGCCAGGGGAGAGGGTGGGCAATGAGCGGCTGACAGGACAGCGGGTCCTGAAACTGCACCCCGCATCATGGTGACCGATGCAGGACTCACAGCTCGAGCGTCTTCCGGGCACCACGGTGCTGGGCCGCGGTGGCGACACCAGCCATTGGAGGCCACCCTGCTCTGAGGTGAGCATGAGCTCAGGAAGGAGGGCCCCGCCTCTTACCGAGGTCCTCACCCCAGTGCCTCTGTGGGAGCATTCACCTTGGGGTCAAAGTATTCAATTCTGCATTTGTCCAGGCTGCAGCCTTGTGCTTCAAACACTGGCCTCCACCAGACTATTTCTCTCCCTGGCCTCTTGAGAGTTGGCTCGGTGACTAAAGTGCCTCACCAAACCCCTGGTGACAACAGCAAACACTGGCAAGAATGCAGAGAAACGATCTCACACATTGCCGGTGGGAATGTACAAAGGCACCGCTATTCTGGAACATACGTTGCCAGTCCTTTTAAAAACAAAAACCTAAACACACAACTACTATCAGATCCAACAATTGTACTCCTGGGTATTTCTCCCAGATGAATGAAAACTTATGTCCACACAAAAATCTATACAAGATTGTTTGTAATAGCTTTATCTGTAATAGGCCAGACTGGAAACAACCTAGATGCCCTGCCATAGGTTAATGGTTCAACAAGCTGTGGTCTGCCCACACCATGGACTATTACTCAGCAATAAAGAGGAATGAAGTATTGACACACACAACAACCTAGATGGCTCTCAAGGGCGTTATGGTGGCGGCAGGGCGGGGGGAGGCGGGGCCAATCTCAGAAAGTCACATACTGTTGATCCCATTTCTATAACATTCACAAAATGACAGAATGGTAGAGATGGAACATAGATCAGTGGTTGCTGGAGGGGGAGGGGGAGAAATGGTGAAAAGGAGAGGGGTGGGTGGGACTGCACGGGGATAGCCCCAGGAGGTCTTGGTGGTGATGGGCGGTCCCGTCTCTCGACTGTGGTTGCGGTTGCACGAATCTGCACACATGATAAAATGGCAGGGAACTACCCACACACCTTGTGCCAACATCCACTTTCTGGTGCTGAGCTTGTGCGATAGTTCCGGGAGATGTAGCCATTGAGGGAAACCAGATGGAAGGTACACAGGATCTCTCTGCACTGTCTTTGCAACTGCCTATGGCTCTATAATTATTTCAAAATACAACATTTTTAAAGAAACACAATTGAGGAAGGGAATTAGGGAAAAAAAACCTCTAAAAAGGCTTCTTGAGGAAGAGGGGCCATCATGGAAAAAATGTTGAGAAACACTGGGGGTGGGGGTGGGGATCCAAGGGTGTCTTTACGAAACACGGTGGTTAGGAAAGCATTTGAGTGACATATACGTAGGCTCAGAAGCAGACATCCTCTCACCTGTGTTAGCATCTCATGAGGTGCTATAATGTTAACATAAAAAGAATAGGCAATATGGCCTCACACGGATAAATATACGTATGTGTTAATATTATTAACACAGCATATCGCATAGAAAAAACTTCAAGAAAACGCAGAAAGTGTGAAGAAAGATTCGAGTCGTTGGACCAATGTGGTAACTGTTACTCCTTGTAGGCACAGAGATACTTCACTCTTCCTCTTCACGCCATCCTCACGACCGCCTGTGAGACGGGTATTATTTATCCCCATTTTACAAATGGGAAAACTGAGGCTCAAACACTTAAGAAACCTCCTCAGTCAAGACCACGTAATAGGTAAATGGCAGAGATAGGATTCAAATCCAGACCTGCCTGAGTATGGGATTTTTATTTTCTTCCATCTGATTTTTATGTGTGTGTGTGTGTGTTTTCCAGTTTTTATAGGAAACACATAATTTGTCTGTAAAAGACGAATAAATATTTAGGGGACCCAAGGCCCGGTTCTATGAGCATGTTCTTGGGCTATTTCACCCTGGGTGGGTTGGCCTCTACTCAGAGGCAGCCACTTGCTATGCTAGTCCTTAATGTACAAGTTGACCTTTTTTTTAAAATATATTTTATTGATTTTTTACAGAGAGGAAGGGAGAGGGATAGAGAGTTAGAAACATCGATCAGCTGCCTCCTGCACACCCCCTACTGGGGATATGCCCGCAACCAAGGTACATGCCCTTGACCAGAATCGAACCTGCGACCCTTGAGTCCGCAGTCCGATGCTCTATCCACTGAGCCAAACCAGTTAGGGCTACAAGTTGACTTTTAAATACATAGTCCTCTCTTACAAAACAGCAATACCGACATGAGCTGAGCACTTAGTATGGGCCGAGCACTGGGCTAAGTGCTTTACTTAAAGTGCCTCATTCATTTCTCACCACAACACGATGAGTCATTAACCCCATTTCACAGATCAGGAAACTGAGGCTGAGATTAAGCAACCTGCCCCAAATTACATCTTGCTGGACCTCCTATAGCTGTCTGTGGGGGGTCGGCCACGGTCCTCCTGCTCTGCCTCTTTCTTCTTGGAGATCCACATCCCTTCAGTTACCAGGTGACCCAAGTGAGATCTCCGAGGCACCAAGGTGACTGCGATGGTATCTTAGGTGGGATGTTCACCAGGTATCCGGCTGGACATCAATCCTCACCCCATTGTACAAAAAGGGAATTGAGACTCACAAAGCAAGTCAGTGGTGAGGCCAGGACTGGGGTTGGTTCTCCTTCCCCACACCCCATGGACTGTCTCTGCTGTTTTAAGACCTGTGTTATGGGTGTCTCTGGCTCTCTGCCCTGGCCAGTATCTGCCCTTCCGAGATAACAATCCTGCTCTTCACCTGGGCAGCCCGGGCCAGGTCATTTGGTGGGATCATGGGGGCCCAAGAGCCTCGGTGCCTCTTCATGACCGTCTGCCTCCCATGCTTGGGAGTATGGACGCCGCACCCAGGTGGGAGCCCCTCCTGACTGCCCATCCTTGCATCTTGCAAGCCCTGGGATTTGTTCTGGGTCTGAACTCTGGCTCAAACTGCTCCACGGGCCCCCTGCACACTCCTCTAATGCCGGGGTCCACTGCCAGGGCGGCACTGAAGGAAGGCTGCTCTTTGAAACGGGCCCTTTGGGTCAGCCATGGGCTTGGCAGTGAGACTCCCCAAGGCAGCTCAGCAGGCGGCAGGCCCAGCAGCCTGGGACACAGTGAGGGGCAAACAGGCTCCATCCCTGCAGCTTGAAGACTCCCACATTCATGAGCGCTTCATGGGCCCAGCAGGGCGCAGGCCCTCCTGACTGGTGGAGGGGCCAGCGATGGGGCAGGACGGGAGGGAGCCAAGGGGAAGGTTGGGCGGAAGGAAGGGTTGAGGACAGAGAACAGGGTGGAGATAAACTGAGACAGGGCCTGGGGGAGACCAAGAGACACAGAGACGGGGAAGGAGGCAGATGAGACGAAGAAGAAAGGCTCCCTGCCCTCCAAGCTCACAGTCCATGAGAGAAGCAGATGGACACAGGGACTCGGTGCAAAGCAGGCTCGGATGAGCCATCATCCTGGCCCAGTGGCTGTGAGAGGACCCGGGAAGGAGACATTCGTTTTGCTCTGGGCAGTTTTCCCAAGAACCTGGGCCTGGAACTAGGTCTAGAAGGATGGTGGGAGTTTAGAGGGTGTGGATGGGGGCTGAGGAGAGCATTCCAGGGGAGTGCTGGCTTGAACAAAGGCCCAGAAAGGAGGGTACTCAGTGTCCACAGAATGGGAATGGTCTGGTGGGAGCAGAGCCTGGAAAGGGAGGCCAGGGTCAGACTGTCGGAGCACCAGGGCCAGGCTGAGGGCAGGTGGGATGGAGCAGGTCTGGAGAACTGGGAAAGCCCAAGCCAGGCTCTGCTGTGCAATGGGGGGAGGGGGGGGGGCTTCGAAGGAGCCCAGGGCCACTAGCAGGACTACCAGGTACAGTATTTGTCATTCTCTGTCTGACTTAGCGTAATACCCTCTAGGCCCATCCATGTGGTCACAAATGGCAAGGCTTCATTCTTTTATACTGCAGAATAATATTCCACGATGTGTGTGTGACACATCATCTTTATTTATTAGCGATTGATGGACATCTAGTTTGCTTCCATCTCTTGGCTATTGTAAATAATGCGCAATGAACATAGGGGTGCATATA